GTTTCATACATTGTATGTGGTGTACGAGTTACATTCCGACTACTCTTATTAGGTAATAGATGGCTTGTCAAGACTTTGATGTACTTTCGCTTATATGTCAAACTCTTTTCTTCTTATGAGATTTCTTGTTTTTTCCCAATTATGTTGTGTATATGTATGTCAAATGACTTGTATACGCCATGTCACATCTAGGATTCACTTTGGGTCGTGACATTCACAATCACTGATGAAGGATTACATACAAAATTAAATCTCTTATAATAAAAAAAAAAGTTGAAAAATCTGAAAATTGAATTGAGGAATCTATTATTGATTTTCAGTCCATTTCGTGGATTGCCACTGTATTAGATTTGAAGTTTGAAGTACCACTTGTTACCATTTAAAAAATAAAGAAGTTGACTCGAGCTTAGACTCACGAATTCAGAAGACTAGAGGTAACAAATCTATTGTGAATGAGTGTTGTTTCGATCTATATTGTTGTTGATTCTAGTTTATTTTGTGGTTTACCATTGATTTGTATAAAAATAATTTAAAGAAGAAGACACTCTACCATTAAAGCTTGATCAAAGCTAATATTTGAAAAATTGAATTGCCACAAACGAGCTCTATTTTCACTCAATATTATTGCAAAGGTTTAAAAATGGCTCGGAGAACTCATAAATAAAATTTGGGATAATTTAGTAAAGAATTCCGTATTTTTGAGTGAATTTAAGTTGCAAGTTCATTGAAGAAGAATGTACAATTCAAAAAACAACCACATTTAAGAAAAAGTTCAAAAATCTGCCACATTATTTCAAAAGTAGTCATTGTTATCAACAATTAATTTTCAATCTTATTTAAAATGTGATATTTTAATTCAGGGTAGTTATATTTAATTTTTATTTTGCGTGAATTAAATTAATTAGATGAATTGCATCGGATCAAAGAAGAAGACTGACCAAAATAAGTGAAATTGGATAATTTTGATCGATTTGAGGAAATCCGCCCAAGTTAGTATTTGTATTAATGTTAGTGATGAACGGATTATAAATGAAAAAAATATACAACAAGGTAAACATGTGATATATATTTACAATAAACTACTATAGTTTAAATTAATTATAATTCGTAGCTGTTTTTTTTTTAAAAAAAAGAGAGGCTATAAGCCATTTATTATTAAACAAAAAACCATACAAAAGGTTCAGATCAAGACCCAAATCAAAATAACAAAAATAAGAAAGACAAAAAATCTAAAAACCAGTAAACAAAAGAGGAAAGTGAACAATCACTCTTCTTTATCCACAAAACATCAACAAATTCCATCTTCTTCTCTAATCAATCCAAGTTGTTGGCAAGCTACAGAACCAGTGAAGTCAATTGAGATCTCTTAACCCAAAAGAAGCAACTGAAAGGAGAAATAAGTTGGAGCTTGGTCGAATTTCACTTAGGCACTCAAAGCTCTCATGAACCTCATGAAATTAGTACCAAAGAAGACTTCTTCAGCTCCATTTATCTCCATTTTCGATCAACTTCACGGTAAGATCTCTCTAAAACTAAATTAAATAAGTTGACGGAGCTTTAAAAACTTACCAATTGATCTTTTCCTTAGCAGGTTGAACCTCAAGGAGGTTGATACCATTGCTAAAGGTCCAGATATAGAGGTTCGTCTCTTAGACTCGTACCGTTTTGTGCATGTCAACCCTATCTCTAGCCATCTGTGACTGTGGTACTATCCAATCCCTTGACTATTTGTGTTTGTTGTTGTGTTGTCCATCAATTTGTAGTTCTTGTTTTGGCATCTTGTAAATCGAAGGTTAGGAGTTTTGCTCTTTTCCATGTTAATTATAACTTTACCTTGATGTGGAACATCTAAACTTGAATTAAATTGCTTTGACATTGTACCTGCAAAACAAAAGGCTAGGTTAGCAAAATAATCCGCCAGGAAATTCCCTTCCCTTAGCGTGTGTTTCACCTCTATCAACTGATTTTCCATTGGCCTCCTAATCTTTAATATCCTCGGAGAAATGGCCCACGGTACTTCCCAAATCCCATCAAGGATCTTGATAAGAGTCAACGAATCAGTCTCCAAAATCAAAGGAAGCAACTCATTATTGATGCAGTATTGTAAACCCATTAACAAAGCTTCAGCCTCTCTTCCAAAATAGTTCTATCCCCAATCATTTTGCATTCAGCAAAAATCAACTCGCCTTCACAATCTCTAATACAAAAAGCACTAGAACTAGGTCCAAAATTTCCTTTTGTTGATCCATCTGAGTTACATTTATACACCCCATTGTTGGGAAATTCCCAATAAACAATTTTACATTTTAAGATAGGCGTATAACCTTCAAGCAATTGCACTATCTTTGGGCAGTCCATAGACAATTCGCTCAACCATGGAAATAAGTAGGAAACATATCGAAATAAGTTTTTATTTACCTTCAAATCCATAGTATGAATAGATTTTTTTCCTCCATGAGCAATGCAATTTCTTCTTTTCCAAATCTCCCAAATAATAAAAGCAGGAACAACTTTAACAATTCACTTCAATTTATTTGCACAATCAGCCTCCCACCATATCTTAACCGTTTGTTGCAACTGTATAAATGGACATTGAATGCCTACAACATTTGCATAACTCACCCATAGCATTTGAGCTGCTGGACATGATATGAATAGATGCTCTATAGTCTCTTGTACATTAGAATCACAACAACGAACTTCATCTACCATGCCTATTTTGATAAGAATCCCCCCCCCCCCACCAGTAGTCTTTGTTTTCATAGCCTCCAAACGAGAAAACTAACTTTGAAAGGTAACCCTTTGATCCATATATTTTTGAAATCATCATTCACCTCTTTTCTCTGCCTTATCAGTTCCCAAGCACTTTTGACGGAGAATCTGCCTGAACTGTTTTGCATCCACCACGGCTTATTCCAATCTCTTATTCCTTCCATTACTTGGACCTCCTGAGTTATGTGATGCTAAACCTCCTCCGTGAATTCATTCTGTAGCAACTCTTTATTCTATCCCTCTTGTGTCATCAAGGACTTCACCTCCTCCAAATGATAATGGTTATCGACCCCAATAGGTAAGTAGTAATGAAGAGCACCAAGTTTAGTCCAGTTGTCAAACCAGATACTTGAATTACCACATCTTGGTTCCTACCAAATCTCTTGATCAAACTGATTTCTAGCTTCTAACATGAACTTCCATACTTGAGACCCTCCATTCCAATCAACAACCTGTGGTCTATGTCTTATGCAATATTTGTTCCATAGAAAATTAGCCCACATAGACTTCTTTGTTCTAAAAGACCACCAAAGCTTTGCAAATAAAGTCTTTGACACATCAAACAGTGATCTAAAATCCAACCTCCTTCCTCTTTAGGTAGACAGATACTATCCCAAGACACCCAGTGCTTATATCTCTTTTTTTCATTAAAAGACCATAATAATTTTGCAAAGATTCTATGTAGGTCTTGAATAACACACTTCGGCGGAATAATTGCAGCTAACAGGTAGATCGGGATGCTTTGTAGGACTGTAGTTATGAACACAATTTTACCTCTAAAGGATAATATTCGTAGTTGTATGTAGGGTTTTATAGAAAATTTCTCTCTTCTCTCGCCCTCTCTTCCTCTCTTCCTTGTCTCTCTCTCGCCCCCTCTCTCTCTCTATCCCAAACAACTGCAACCGAAAAATATTCCACATGATATGACAATTGTATTTTATATTATATATAAAATATTTTTGTATTTCATATCAGCTGTATACGTATTTTGTATCAATTGTATTTGTCGATAAATGTTGTGTTCGTTAATACAACTATATCTGATATATGATACAAATCAATTGTGTCAATTATATTTGTGAAAAAACTTGACCCAATGAATACAATATATATTCATCCTCTCTAGAAAATGTATTATGTATCAATTACATTCAATTAGGGATATCAAATGGGTGAATTGAGTTGAAATTGAAGATATTAAAATGGGTTGAAATAGAAATCGGGTTGAGTCATGACCCTCCTAAGTTTACTTTGAGTTCAAATGGGTTGGACTCAAATGGGCTAAAAATGATTGTGTCATGACCCATCCAGTTTGACCCGCTTAATCTCAATAATTTCAACATATTGTTGTTTAACTTTTATAACTACCATTTGAATTTCAACTCCAGAAAAAAAAGGTTACAAATGGATAGATAAATCCTAGAAGATATAAAATAGATAGTAATTCATACCTTCAATATAGGAACATACATTACATCAATGCAATTAAAGTGTCTTAAAACAAGTTGAAATTAGAGATTAAATTGGGCTCAATTGAAGATTATTTTAAAACAGGTTAATGCTTGAATGAGTTGAGATTGAATCCAATTCAAATTATCTTGAGCCCAATCCATAAAATTCTGAACGAAATGGGCGGGTTACCTATATTTGAGCTCATTTTGACACCCCTATGTTCAATCAAATATAAGTGAGACCTTTGTATTTTATATCAATTGAATTCAGACAACTTTTTTTTTGTATTTTGTATCAATTATATTTGTATTATGTATCAATTTTATTCGTGATACAATGAATACAACATATATTCATCCTCTCTTCTATCTCTCGATCTCGTTCACCTCTCTCCTCATAATATGTAGCTAAATACAATAGTTTTTAATACAACAAGTATTCAACCTTTCTCACCTCTCTCCTCTCACTCTCTCAGATGTCGCTCGCCTCTCTCCTCCCTCTCCTAGTCTCGCTTACCTCTCTCCTCCCTCAAACATGTAGCTATAATTTGTAATTAAGAAAAAATTATAACTATACATCTCCAATTAAGCCCAAGCTACCGTCATCTTCGTAAGTTTCCATTATAAAAAAAACTCATTTTTTTTCTACTAAGTATGAAAGTTTTATTTTAATATTAATTTAATAATAAGTAAAATAAAAACGGAAGTATAGGTGTAGACTGTAGTTTTGACTAGAAAAGTAAACTAAAAACGGAAGTAAACAATAGAGTACAATGTTTCAACTCAAACTCAAAACTCAAAAAGGCACATAATTCTCCTGCGTCTAATCACGAGCGTGTCAAGATGTGGTTGGATTTTCACATTATCGCACTGCAACTGCGTTTCAAAGATTGAGGGAATACAAGGACAAGCAAACACTTAATTCGGCTATTGCTTTTTCTCTTTCAAACAAATTCACTTCTTTTTTCCCTTCAACGCAAACAACACCCACTTTATTTTTATTTTTATCTTTCTCTCTCATACAGTAAACCCTCAAAAAAACTCAGTCAAATAGCTCTAAAGGTACAGTCTTTTTCCTCTAATTCTTCTGTTTTCTTGAATTGTACTTTGTAATTCTATGCTTGTTGTCTGAATCTTGAATTATTCTTGCTGTTTTCTTGTTCTCTAGATTTTCTTTATTCTGTAGATCCGTTTGCTTAAATTTTCTATTAGGGTTTCTTTTAATCATGAGTTGATTCTTGATTCTTGATTCTTGAAATGTAAAGTTGAAAGATTTGATTTTTTTCTTGTATTCAGATTCTGTAACTATGGATGAGGAAGAAGGGGTAAGTTCAGTCACTAGTGTTTCAGAACCCTCTGTGGCTGAAACCCTTGTGGAGAATTTGGGGTGTGAGGGACAGACGGATGAGGTTTATAATGATGAAGATGGTGGGGAGATAATGGTTGAGGTGGTAGGTTCTGATGTTTTTGTTGATGGGGTCTGTGGTGATGGTGAAGATGATGAATTGGGGAAGGATGGTTCTGGAAAAGTAGATTCTTTGGATGAGGATAGAGATTTTCGATCCGGTGAAGCTGGTCAAGAGGATTATGGGAATACTGGAAATGGGGTTGAGGGGGTACTTGAAGTTGCAGGGTCTTCCAGGGATGTCGCAGTGGCAGCTGGTACTGAGATTGTTCCAAGTGTAATGGCTTGTTCTGTTGTAGAGAAAGTCAACCTCAGTGTTAGTGAGGAGGATGTTGAGGCTAAAATTGTCGTCAGGAGCACTGAATCTGCTGCGCGTGCTGATTTGGCTTCAGTTGATGTTGCAGGGTTGTTCAGGGGTGTTTCTGAGACAGTGGACAATGAGTCTGACTCCAGGTTGCCGAGTGAAACAGCTGATAGAGTTTTAGAGCAAGTTAGCACCGGAGTTAGAGAGGAGGATGCTGAAGGGAATGTTGGTAGGAGCACTGTATCTGTTGAGGGGAGTGCTGAATTGACATCGCAAAGACTGGATATTTCTGATGATGGGGTGTGGAATCCTGGAATTGAACCTCTGGCTGAATCTTCTTCATTTGTGCCGCAAGACAATTCAAATCGTGAAACTGAAGAGGCTAACAATCTTAGCTTGGATTCTTCTGAAAAAGATCAAAGTTCAGTCAGAGAGATAGTTGGCCAGGCTAGTGAAAAAGATATTTCTAGTCATGCAAAGGATCAGATATCAGACCATCCAGATGAAGGAGCTGTGTCAGGGGAAAGTGATGTGTTAGGGAAATCACATTCAGAAGTTGTAACTATGGAAACCAATGCACATGATCAGGATAGAAATGCCTTGGGGGACAAGGATGAGAATACACATTCAGAAGTTGAACCCATGGAAACTGATGTCCGTGAGCAGAGAGATGACCTGGGCAACAATGATGAGGATTCACATCAGGACAGTGAGTTGGTACAGAAAAAACATTCAGAAGCTGAAACCATGGAAACTGATGTCCATGATAAGGAGACAGTTGGCTTGGGCATTGAGGATGAGAATTCACATCCTGATGTTGAACCCATGGAAACTGATGTTTATGATCAAGAAGGTGGGGTGCTTAACAAGGATGAGAATAACAATTCGAATGCAGTGGTTGAACTCCCGGAGAAAATTAACCATGAAGATGATCAAATAATTAACATGTGCCATCAGGTTCCTGCAGGTCATGATAATCTGGGTGTAGATATACCAGTGTCTCAAGATTCTGCTAGCGATTGTGCTGATGAAATGGTTTCTTTGAGGCCAAACAGTCAAATCCCTGAAGATAAGGGAGAAGAAATTAAGGTAGGTAGTGGTGATTCAAGAATATCAGCTGAACACACCCCAGTTGTACATGATCACTCCTTAGGCATCAATGGTACCAATGTGCCATTGCACCCTGGGAATCAAGAACATAGCTTTAAGGGAAACTTGGCTGCAGAGAATGGAGTTATTGGTTCTTCCTGTGAAAAAGCAAACCATGGTGAGGATCGGGAATTAAAGGTTGATAACATGCATGAAGATAAAAACAACTTTGCAGTATGTACACAGGCAGAAACTTCTGATATGGAAATCCAAACTAGCAATTGTAAAGAGGTGTATTTGGAGGGTAGTGAGGTCTCAACTTGTAAAGTTCCTATATCCAGTGATAATGGGAGCTTAGGTGGTTCAGACGAGTTGCCAGATGTGCAGCCTAAGGTAGCAGACGGAGTAAGTGAAGTTACTCATGATGATTTCCTGCTTCCTGTACAGGCTAGTGCTCATGATACCGGAAACCTTGATGAGATGGAAGTTGAGGGGGTTTGTCCTGAGACAACTGGCACTTTGACTTTTTCCATGAATGATGAGAGTCTGAATATAGTGGAGGTTGATGCCAGGTTGGAAAATGATGCAAGAGTTGGACCCTTGGAAGCCCCTTATGAACCAGCTTGCCGAAGTGATGGAGCTAGTGTTGAAATGGACAAGGACAGGGATGCCCAGCTTGGAACTACTACAGCAAGCTTAAGTTGCTCCATGGGTGAAAATATTCTGGAAGATGAAACAAGGGTGTCTCTGGAGACTATGATTAGTACGAGAGATATGAACACTGGGGATGAAACAAACAAAGTAACACACTTGCTGCCAGAAAGTTTGGATGGTGACATGTTAGTGCAGCATGTTGAGAATGAGAGCTTATTGCTTTTTGATAACTATGCTGGAAAAGAAGGCGATCCCCAGATGAGTGCAGTGCCATCTAATGATGATGTTATGACTGAAGATCCAGAAGGAACTTCATTAGCATGTCAGGATACTTCCAAAACCTCAGATTCTAATGCTGTTAATGTGAAGTCACCTTCTTTATTAATAGAGAGCGACTTTGAGGTTGAGGCTGAAGACACTGCTCTTGGAGAAGGTCCTGTTCAAGGTGATGATCTGGCTCATGATACAAAAAATGGTGCTGTTACAGGATTGCGTTCAAATATTACCGAAGAATCTGAATTCTATGTGAAACAAGAAGGTGTAGTGGAGCATGTTAATATGCTTGCTTCTGAGATGGATCTTGATGCCGAGAATGCAGCAACTGCCGATAAAATATCAAATGAAGAGAACAAATCTAATTTAGAGGATGCTATAAAATCTCAGGCTGCTATAAATTTTGGTGCTGATGTCCCTCCAGTTAGAGATCAAATTGTAGAAACTTGTATTTCTGATACCAGCGATACCAAGATGAATCAAGTCGATGAGGACCAGGACTCTTTCAAGGCAACTGAGGATCTTGTTTTCCATGTTCATGCTCCAGAAATAATGAAGGTTACAGATGAGCAAGAGAAAGGTGAAGTTGAGAAACTTTATCCTGGTACTGTGCAGGAATCTCCAGAGCAAGACAAAGGAACTGAAGAAGTTGTATCCGAGACAAGCCACACAGTGATGTTGAATGAGAAGCCTGTGAGCTTGTTGAATATGCATCCTGGTTATCTTATTCCACCAGAAAATGAGGGCGAGTACTCTATTTCTGATTTAGTCTGGGGAAAGGTTAGAAGCCATCCGTGGTGGCCTGGACAGATATTTGATCCTTCTGATGCTTCAGAAAAGGCCATCAAGTACCATAAGAAAGATGGGTTTTTGGTAGCTTATTTTGGAGATCGAACTTTTGCTTGGAATGATGCATCTGTGTTGAGGCCATTCTGTTCTCATTTCTCTCAGATTGAGAAGCAAAGTAATTCAGAAACATTTCAAAACGCTATAAGCAGTGCTTTAGAAGAGGTTTCAAGACGGGTTGAACTTGGCCTTGCTTGCTCATGCACGCCTGGAGATTCCTATGATGAGATTTCATGTCAGATTGTGGAGAACACTGGGATTCGTGAAGAATCAAGCAAAAGATATGGAGTGGACAAATCAACTGGAGTCACTTCCTTTGTACCTGATAAGCTCCTGCACTATATGAAAGCATTAGCCCTATCACCAACTTGTCGGGCTGATAGATTGGATCTCACTATTGCTCGAGCTCAGTTAGTTGCCTTTTGTCGCTTCAAGGGATATCGTCTGCCACCACAATTCTCGTTGAGTGGAGAATTCCTAGAAAACGATGCTGACATACCACATGTGGACAGTGCAATTGATGATAACGGTCATGCTTCGGAAGGCAGTGAGCAACATCCCACCAGTAAAGTCTCCGCTCGCAAACGTAAGCACAGTTCAAAAGATAGCTCACAGAACAAACTGAAAGAGCGAAGCTTGTCAGAGCTGATGGATAATATGGAATGTGAGTATTCTCCAGATGGTGAGGATGATTTGGATGAAAAATCATTCACTTCCAGCAAGAAGAGGAAAGCTGTTGATTCTCGTACTGATGGATCGGACAAGAAAACAAGTGCTTATGCTGCCAAAGTGTCGACCACAGCGTCTGTATCTCCTAAACCATCCTTCCGTATTGGTGAATGCATTCAAAGAGTGGCAAGCCAATTAACTCGCTCAGCCTCACTTCTGAAGGGCAGCAGTGATCAAAGTGGGGCTGATGTTCAATCACAGGACTCTCCAAAGGGCAAAGTTGTGATTCCAACTGAACTACCTTCTGCAAATGAGTTGCTCTCACAGCTTCAGTTGGTGGCACGGGCTCCATTGAAAAGCTACAACTTCTTAAAAACCAGCACTACTTTCTTTTCAGGTTTTAGAAATTCGGTTGCTGTGGGGCAGAATTCAATGAAGCAGAATTTGTCAGCAGGAAGAGCTGCTGGTGGTCGTAAGAAAAGAGCTTCACAAACTGTAGCTGGTTTTGCTGAAGAATTCGAGTTCGATGATGTAAATGATTCTTATTGGACAGACAGGGTTGTACAAAACTGTGGAGAGGAGCAGCCATTGCAGAATAGTCAGAGTGTCACGGTTCAAGATCCAGAGAAATCCAATAAACCAGCTCGTAGATCATACACTAGAAAACGAAAATCGAGTGTCGATCATGACATGACACCAGGTGTTCCTCCTGAAGACATTGAGAAGAGGAAACATGAGCCAGCAGAACTGATTTTAATTTTTGCAGAGGGTAGTCCTCTTCCATCTGAAATGAACCTTAATAAAATGTTTAGGCGGTTTGGGCCATTGAAGGAATTAGAAACTGAAGTTCATCAGGAGACTTCTCGTGCTAGGGTAGTCTTTAAAAGGGGTTCTGACGCAGAGGTTGCTCATAGTAGTGTAGGAAAGTTCAACATATTTGGGTCACGGCAAGTGACATATGAGCTCAGCTACACACCAGTTATCTCATTTAAGCCGATGCTCCTTACAATTACACCAGGCCTAGAGGGAGCTATTTGATGCTTCAGCTCCAAAATGATCACAGCTTGAGGTAATTTATTTGCGCATTGTAAATGCACTCTTGAAATCTATACATTTGAATACTCGTTTGTTTGATCTAAATTTGTGTAATCTCGCAAGAAACAACTTCATCGTGGTCTTCGCTCCCTCTCCGTCCCTAAATTTTTATGTGTTCTCTGTATATACCAATGTCAGAAATTCTGAAAAAGCTGTAGGATTTTTACTCAAAAAGAAATTTGTCATACCCCCGTATGAAGGGAAGTCTTTTCAGTATCAAAATTTCCATCCTCAGTCCTTCAGTTTTGGATATGGTATTTTCTCAAGTTGTAACAGCTACCTTGCCAAAAATATTTCTTAAATACTCCCTATTTTCAATTGTGTCTTAGTTTAATTGGACACTGAATTTAAGAATCATGTGGTCTTAACCTAAGGATGCATGTAAGTACAAATTCATCCTCTGAATATTGTGGCCTTAAACATGTCATGTGGTATTTGAAACTAAAGATATACCAAGTATAAAAAACGACATTCTTTTTCAAGCAGTCAAAAGGAAGCAAGACACATTTTCACAGAGGAATTTCTTTTAATTATAATTTCCAGGGTACAAGTTCGAATTCTAACTACATTTTGGGAAATTCTATTCTGTTTAGTTAGTCATGTTGCTTCTTGATTCTTTATATTTGGATGTTAGCTTTCTTTACTCTCTCAGGTTTGTTTCGTCTGACTACTGTTCTACTTTGTATTGTAGGTTAAACAAGACATGATTATTATTGCAGGGACGGCCAACAGTAGCATCTATCTTTCATTAGAAGAGAGCGGGTTGCTGGATGGAGAGGGTGAACGCCATCTTTTTGTAAAGATTAAAACTTTATTTGTGTCTGTATTTTCTTCTCTCTTTCTATTTCCCTAGAGTTTCTCTCCTGCTCCATTAGAAGTGATATCGTTCATGCTTCTGATCAACTTCCGAGTCCCTCTTTATCTTACTGGATAAAGGATAAAGTATGTTAGAAAATCATTTACTGTCTGAAACAAATCGAAATTACTCAAGTGGGATGGGCTTAAGAGATATTGTGCCAAAAGGTGAAACAAAATGTGTGAAGCTCCATTTTCTAGTTAGGTGCCAATTTTCTTTATCTGGAACTTGTTGATACCAAGTGATGGCCGTGGCATGTCCTATGTTTCAATTGCGATGATATTACGAACAGATACAAAAATAAATAGGATGGGCTCTTTCAGCCACGGGGCAACGTGGCACTAATCACTCTTTGGGGACTGCTTATGCTTGCTCTGAAACGTATTTTTAGTGATGGCAAAGGGGTGGGGATTTTTCTGAGAATAATAGGAAAGGCCCTGCAAATGTATGAAGAATATTTTGGGAAACGAGGGCGGGAGGCGCCGCCGCGGGTTGGGTATTCTTTTGAGAATTATACATGTGTCAAGAATAATAGGAAAGGCCCTTTAAATATATGAAAATTATTTTGGGAAACAGAGGAGGGTGGGGTTTTTTTTTTCTGCGAATCATACATGTGTTAAGAATTTTGGGCTCCGTAAATTGGAGTTTTTCTTAGAATCATACATGTGTCAAGAATTTGTAATGATAATTGGAATATAAAAGATCCTTTAAATATACAAAAAATATTTTGGGAAACGAACGGAGGGAGGGAGGGGGGAGCAATGAGGTGGGCTTCGTAGATTGGAATTTTTTCTTAGAAACATGCATGTGTCAATAATTTTTATACATGATTGGAATAGGAAAGACCTTTTAAATATGTGAAAACTATTTTTGGAAACGAAGATTGGAATAGGAAAGGCCTTTTAAATATATTGTTTTGGGAATGAGGGGGTGGGGTGGGGGGGGGGGGGATTGT